AAGAAATAGGCTATGGAAAAATAGCATATTTGCTTCCTCATTACCTTCCCGCATACCAGCAGAGATGGGGTGTGAGGGGCATGCCGGGATATTGTCATCAAATGACACAAGTTTTTTTAAAAATCAAGAAAAGAATTAATAAAATAAGAAGTAAAGAGAGGGGCGCCTGGGTGGCTCAGTCATTAAGCATCTGCCTTCGGCTCATGTCACGATCCCAGAGTCCTGGGATCGAGCCCCGCATTGGACTCCCTGCTCGGCGGGAAGCCTGCTTCTCCCTCTCCCACTCTCCCTGTTTGTGTTCCCTCTCTCGCTGTGTCTCTCTCTGTCAAATAAATAAATAAAAATTAAAAAAAAAAAGTAAAGAGGATATTGCTAAAAAGTATATTGTTTATCACAATTTTCAGGTTTTCTATGTCTTTCCAAATTTTAGGGACTATGCATAAGCCTTCTATCATCAACATTTTCTGCAGAATATATTTTACTTTTTATAATTTTTGAAGATATTCCATTAAAAATTTGGAGCTCCAAATTAAATTGTAGTAGTTCATCAATATTGAACCTGATTTGCGGGACCCTTGTCTTCTTTTACATGCGCTCTTGAGACAGCAATTCAGTAACTTCCTAAAGATGAGCTTCTTCAGGTGGTGCAACTGCCTTTTGTATGTTAATACATTTTTCTGCTTATCTGAGATGCAATGATGTGGGAAACAAAGGCAGAAGAAAAATTATTAAATTTCCTTACTACCTAGAGCCCACTGACAAGTCCTTGAAACAGGAAGAGTGATATTCCTCTAGGGACTCAGCTGCCTCGATGTTAATACTTTGCTAAGGACAAAAGGCAATCCTAGCCTAAACCACCCCCCCCCCCCCCCCCCCCCGCCAGGATCCTGTAAGTCTACTTTAATGTATAAAAATTCCTTTGGAAACTTTATCTCTAAACCTCCCCAAGATACGTATTGGTAATCATCCCCCAAGCATATGGCCCACCGATATACATCTGAAGGGTCTCATGACTAAGGTTTTATTAGACGGTAATAAATGACCTTTTCCTAACAATAGCTAGCACCCTCAAGGTCCTGGAATCCTTGCTTCTAAAATTCTTTAGAGATTTACGCTATCCCTAACTCTCTCCAAACTTGAAAGTATATAATGGGCCACTCCTCATGACCCCACTGCAGCTATTTCTGCCCACGGGTCCTGTCCCCATGCTTTAATAAAATCACCTTTTTTGCACCAAACACGTCTCAAGAATTCTTTCTTGGCCATCGGCTTTGAACCCTAATGTCTTTCCTACATCATATGGTGCCCAACATGTTTGTGGTTTGGGTCAAGGAAGTGAACTTGTAAAAGCACAAGAATATGGGTTGAGTAGTGAAGGATCTTAATGATATCCAGGGGTGGGGGGGCCACTGCTGATGGAATTCATGACCCCAGTGAGCACCAGGCATTGCGGTGAGGATCCTGAGAGTGGATTAGAAAAGTGAGTGTCGGCACTATGGGAATGTCCTTCTGCACAGAAAAGGAGTCTAAGAAACCTGAAACTTGCTCCCATTTATTTTTCCCCAAACCTAGGACATCATAAAAATTCAGGCAGCTTGCTAGATTCAAATACAAATAACAACTCTATGGAAAAAATAACAGCTTGTGATAATAATAATTTAAAAAAAAAACATTAAAAAATGCTTACTCTTTCAAAAAGAAATACTATAACTTTTCAGTTGAATTTAGAGGATGAGACACCAAATAGATACTTTTATTTAAAATATTTATTTGTTCATTATATTTAAGAAAAAATAAAACCAAATTGGAGACCACAAATTTCAAAAGCAATGCATTTTGAAATGTGGGATGACCCATCAAGAATGGAGGAAACCACAAGGACTTTTAAAATATTGGAATGAAATACTCATGAGGACTACTGAGCTTGCCCAGGAATTCTTTCTTGGTTATAGTGGATATGCTAGATTGGCTCTTAAACATCCATTTCAATCTCCTTCTAATAGGCAGAGGCTGGAAAAAATCCCAGATGTGTTGAAAGTGAGGATTTCAGATGTGACTTAGGTCCTGCCAATCAGATACTCTCAAATGACACTTGCATTCAGAACTGATTTAACTTAAGAGCAAGGCCTAGTGTGTGACACTCATTTTGTGGGTGCTGATTTAGCAAGATTTGCATGACTCTGGGGCCAACAGTGGCAGCATGGGCTCTTGGACCCAGATCACAGCTAAGGCAAGAGTGATTCTGGAATCAGAAGTTGGCTCTTGAATTCCCTCCCAGAAGTCATAATTTTCTTGGCAGGCCAGTTCTACTGTGTGGTTCTGGGAGTCATTCCTGGAGGCTCGCCTAGAGCCTGCTTCTGTAGCTCTTGTAACAATTTTATAAATACTTTATTCCCTGTATTAGATTATTTTCTAATTTCCTATATTAATTTTTTCCCTGCTTAAAATAGCTAAAATATTTTCTATTACCTGCAGCTGAACTTCTACATGATAGTAGAATATATCCTTATCCTATGCTTTCAGTGTAGTCCTGCCAGAAGGGCTTAGGAAAGGAAAGGACTAAGGAAACTGAAAATCTAGGCCCTTCCCAAATATAATTGCTCTCTTCCTATTGTGTTCCCTCTAGAATCAGAACAACCACCACCTCTTTGATCTTTGGCAACTTACTTGACCTCTCTGTGCCTGAGAATAATAATGTCTACCTCACAGAGTTATGGGAATTAAATTATGGAAGTGTGTAAACCACTCAGCATCATTCCTAGTACATAGTAATTTATCAGTAAATGAGATATGTTAGCATTATTACCTCTGTAGAACTTCTGTCATTTGTAATGATCCATACATGAGAAATGGTTTGCATACCTTTGAGGGTAAGAACTAGGTTTCATTCATTCATCTTTCTGTCTCAAGATTCTATCACAAAGCTTGACACTTTGTAGATATTTAATGCTTCCTGATTGACTGTTTCTAAATAGTCTAAGAGTTCACAAAGATTCTCAAAGTTCTCAAAGTATCTTATTCTTTTATTTTCTTCTGGGAAATTAGAATATGCCTAACTCTTCATGGAGTCTTACTTGAGAGGGAGAGATAGAAGAGAATAAAAAATCTAAAAGAAGCTTTGTATACTATCCATTTCAGATCCAGCACTTCGTGTATGATGCAAGACCCAAAGTTACTATTCTGTGCTCAAGTTCACAAACCTATAAACCTGCAACCAGTTCCCTAAAGTCCCCCTATTAGGTTTTTCTATGACATCACATTAATGTAATGTAGTTTACATTACTACATGGAGACATGGAGTAATTATAAGTATGTAGGGACTTACCCCGAAACCAAATAGTTCCCAGTGTTTAGAGGACTTAGGTTTTCTTTTATCATTTTGTGTTCAGTTTCTTTTCTTACTATGAGGCATTTAGCTGTCTTTTCTTGTTGTCATCAATAATCTGATCTCCAGAAACTCTCACCAATTTTCTGATTTTCTTCTAATCTTCAAGGGTTCAGAAAATCAGAGGCTATTATAGCCCAAACAAAAAGTAAATTGACTACGAGTGAGAGCTTATGGGATTTTTCTAGGGATAGATATAAATTTTAGTGGGTAGACCATTTGGTATTGGTTTTGGCCCCTTAGGGCTTGTTTTCCCCCTTATTCTTTTGATTTCATTGGAGTTTTGATAATTGACATGACCACGCAAATAGCCTTAGGATGTGTTAGACTAAGTATGAACACTGAAACAGCAATTACCCACAAGGTCAAATTCTGATAAATTAATTCTCTATGTAATGTAAAATGCTATAGTCACTTTGAAAAATATTTCAGCAATACCTCAAAAAGTTAAGCAAAAATTATCATTTGATTCAGCAATTCCACTCCTAATTATATACCCAAGAGAAATAAAAAACATGTCCACACAAAAACTTGTACAGGAATGCTCATAGCAGTCATTATTCTTAACCAGCCAAAAGGTGGAAACAACCCAAATGTCCATCAATGATGAACGAGTAAACAAAATGTAGCATATCCATATAATGGAAAACTATTTGACCATAAAAAGGGATAAGTATCAAGACATGTTACAACATGGATAAACCTTGAAAATATCATGCTGATGAAAGAAAGCAATCACAAAAGACCAAATATCATATTATTCCTTTATATAAAATGTCCCAAATAGGCAAATTTATGAAGACAGATAGAAGGCTATGGTTGGCTAGGACTGTGGGCTGGGGTGGGGGATGTTGTAAGGCAACTGTGAAAGTGATAGCTAAAAAGTACAGAAGTTTCTTTTCGGGTGATGAAAATGTTTTAAAACTGTGGTGATGGTTGCACAATTCTAAATATACTAAGAGCATTGAATTGTATACTTAAAATGGGTGAACTCTATGGTATGTGAATTATATTTCAATAATACCAAAAAAGTCTCCATGTAGCAAAATGACGGTCAATCTCCAGGTGAAATTCCATCCACTTCAAACAATATTTTATTCAACAAATTTAGAGTCAGTTCTTTAAAGTTTATTGTAAAAAGATCCTGAATGTAATAGTATTTTGATGAAAACAAATGTTTTTCTCAAATTGCCTATTCATATAGTAGGGAATTTGGCAAAATATCACCACTCCAAATTATCACCACTGATAAATAGTAAACTTTCACACGAATGCCTTGTGTTCCACGTAATCTTTTTTGTTTCATTACAAAAGACGTCACTGACTGAAATCTCACTTACAGAGTAACACAAACAGGATTTCTTAAATTAAAGGCAGGAAGGTTCAATAGCAGAAAGATGACTAATCAGCACAGAAGAATTCCTAACATCCTGCTAAACTCTAGTGGAGTCAACTTGCTTTCTTTTTCATTGTTACTATAGAGATCAGGGAACTGCAAGCACATGTGGTTTGGGCAGGAAGCTTCTTACATTTCATCAGAAACAAAAGGGCAGAGGGCAGTGACTCTGAGTGGGGGGCAGAACTGCACTGCAGAAGCTGGAGTCACGTTCTTGGTCCTGTCAGGGGTGGCTGGCTGACGCTGGTGACTCATTTGTGACTCACAGGTCTACTTTCCCCGTTTGCTACAAGTTTTCAAATTAGGTCCTGGGAAAAGATATATCAGCTTATTGACCTGAGATGCTTTTCTGAAACTCTCCACAACAGGATTCTCACCTTCCTGTGTTGTTATTAAAAAATTTTTAAAACAAGACAACAAAATGACATTCCATTATCAGGTAAGTTTAAATAGGGGAGGATAGGGGAAAAAAATTGTTAATAATACAATCTGAACTGTCTAGACGCAAATAGTTATATTAAAAATAAATGTATTTTAGCTGCAATCTTTTAGATTGTTTGAAAAAAATATGCCAGAAACTGATAAGAAAATCTCAAAATAATTACCTACACATCCTATTTTTATATAATATTGGATATTTTTCTCCATATGACAAATTATGGCTGAGGGAAACACTATCACAAGAAACTGTATGTGTTTACATACACATGTGTGTGTATCCAAGTGTGTATACATGTGTTCATAACTCAGACACACAGTATTTATAAGAATTCAGCTACTACAACAGGGCAGGAGATGAAATTATCAACATTATCAGTAGTCTAAATGTCTCTTGGGTGACAGGCTATTCAGAATTTTAAAAATTAAGATAATTTTTAAAGTAAGAAGTATAGTTTGCTAATAAGCTTCATATTCATGTTGATCTTTTGCAAAAATTCTTTTAAGTGATTATTTAAATGCTCTGCATTGTAATGCACACCATTTTCTAGCCTTCAATCCTTTACACTGGGTGTCAAGCTATTAGACAGGAACATTCTGAGACTCTCCGTCCATGGAAATGTCTAATGGCATTGCACCAATGTCCCATGCAGTGAAGAGAATGCATTTTCAGTTTTAATCCTAAGTATAAAGTAATTTTTGACAAAATGGATTTAAAACACCCCTCTAACTGGTACAGCTCAAAGAATTCTGATCCAATAGGAAGGAGGCAGCCCTGACCCTATATCCCCATCCCAATTCCTCTCCCCACCTCCAGCCTAGAGTGCTGATCCTACAGGAAAAATGCACATGCCAAAGGTTCCACATATATATTTTGTAATTATGTGTAGAACATTTGGGATGTAGAGCAAGAGAGTTGCATTATCACACTGACCCTTCTTGGGTTAGGAAACAAAAACTTAGCACATGCTATAGGCCAGGCTGGTCATATGGACCCAGGTCAGCTCCAATGACCTGTCACTCAAGAGAGGAGTCCATTCAATTAGCTACACCCTGGGAGAGGTGGCCACAGTCAATGGTAAGCTGGTTCAGAAGAATTGACTATCCTTTCTGGTTCAACCGTACATGAAGTTCCTGTTAGAGAATTCTATTTTAGCAAGGGGATTTGGCAATATAGTAGCAAATTCTTATACTGTCTTTAAAAATCCTAAATCAGTGAGAACAGATATGTGGAACTTTTATCTCATTAGAAGTTGTGGCATAGTTTGCTATTATGTATATAATGTAAATGCTAAATGGCTGGGGAAGGAGGCTAAGAATGATCAGACTATACTGTTGAAAGTCTGATATTTCCTAGGAAAATATGCATTTTTCATGTTAAATCCCATATTACTTTATAATATCTAGACTAATTGTATCAAGAAAGCCCTATTTATTTAGGTAAATTCACAAACAACTGGAACAGTTGATTAATCCCAAGGGCTAAGTAGCATAAATAAATCAATTTATGGGCCAACTGGAAGTGAGGTTAGGGCAGGAAATATGCACACATTAAAAGTGAACTAATGTAAACTGAAGTGCTTTGAAACATAGCATACTTGCTCAAGGTAAAATATTATTATAATAATTGAAGAATATTATGGGTTTTAACATCATTACTAACTCTGCATGATTTAATTTTAGATGCTTGCCAGTAAGAACTATGATAAATACCTATTTTCACTATATGGAGGCTTTCCTAAAGATTACGCAAATTTCCTTTGCCATGGGACTTTTTTTTAAGATTTATTTTTTATTTTAGAGAGAGAGAGAGAGAGCGCATGAGTCGGGGGAAGGGCAGAGGAGAGGGAAAGAGAATCCCAAGTAGACTCTGCACTGAGCGTGGAGTCTGATGCAGGACTCGATCTCACAAGCCTGAGGTTCATTACCTGAGCCAAAATCAGGAGTTGGTGCTCAACTAAATGAGCCACCCAGGCGCCCCAGCCATGGGACTTTTCTTAAGTATATGGAGAAACTTATTTTTTTTTTTTAAGATTTTATTTATTTGAGAGAGAGAGAGAGAGAGAAACAGCATGAGAGGGGAGAGGGTCAGAGGGAGAAGCAGGCTCCCCGCTGAGCCGGGACCCCGATGTGGGACTCGATCCCGGGACTCCAAGATCATGACCCGAGCTGAAGGCAGTCGCCCAACCAAATGAGCCACCCAGGCACCCCGAGAAACTTATTTTTTGTATCCACTTGAATACAATAAAGATGTCCTAATCAATAAGCCCTGGGTCAATGTCATTGCCCATTAACAACTTTTATAATTCACTGCTTAGGAATCAGCAATTTTAAATTCTGCTATTCTGAAAAACTGTGGAGAAGCAAAAATCTTTTTTTTCTCTTCTTTCTTTTCTTTTTTTTTTCCCTTAGATATATCTGAAACCAGTAACGTCCTTGGACTCATCCTTGGACTCATCCTTGGACTCTGCTCAGAATGTGATAGGACAGTGTGCCAAGGTGCACTGCATCTATTACCTCACTGGATCCTCATGCAAACTCAGAGGCAGGCAGCAACTCCATTTATAGACGAGAAAGATGAACCCTCCAAATTATCTACCCTGGTTTCAAGTAGGCAGTTCACAACTCTGCACATCTCCAGGTGAATCACCTATTTTCTTCTCTCTGGATTTCTATGTGCTGTAAGTATACCCTTTGCTGGAATATTGTCTTATAGTTTCATGTATGAGAGAGGAGAGGAGGGAAGGGGAGCAGTGGGGAGAAGAAAATTGATAAGAGATGCTCTGGTTTCAAGCTTCTGCTTCAAGAATGCTCCCTTATGTACTCCCTGATTTTGTCTTTGACCTTCCTGGAATGGAGGATCTCATTCTTCATGTGTGATTCCTTAAAAAGTGTGATAGGCAGAACAATGGCCTCCAGAGATATTTGTCTTAATTCCCAGAACCTGTAAATATTTTAGCTTACAGGGCAAAGGGGAATTAAGGTGGTAGATAGAATTAAGTTTGCTAATCAGCTGGCCTTAAATAGTGAGATTATCCTGGATTATCCAGGTAGGTCCAATGTAATCAAAAAGGCTCTTAAAAGTGGAGGAGAGAGGCAGAACAGAGTCAGAGAGAGATTTTGAAGCTGGAGGAAGGGGCCAATAGCCAAGGAATGGGGGAAGCCTCTAGAAGCTGGAAAAGGCAAGGAAATGGAATCTTTTCCAGAGTCACCAAAAACAAATTCTGCCCTACCAAATCCTAATTTTAGTCCAGTGACATCTGTGTTGGACTTCCAAAGAACTGTAAAATAATAAGTCTAGATTGTTTTAAGCTACCACATTTGCGTATTATGTTACAGTAGCAATAAGAAAACTAATATGTAGAGCCAATCTAGTGTTCTTTTGGATCCTGGGGGCAGGTAGAACATCTGTCAACCTCTCCCGACTCTTGCCCACTTGTATATTTTCTTAGAAATGGGTCACTTAGTTGGACCAAAGGAAAACGAGGACCCATGCTGTGTTTTTCTAGTACAACCCTGAGCTGCTCTGACAATGGAAGACCTACTCATCCTATAAGGCCAGAAGGTACATTTATGTGAGGATGCTTAGAGGAAGCACACCAGCATATAGTTGGATTCCTATCAACTGTGTTTACAAGTAATACCGGGGAAGAAAGATGTGAAAGTTAGAATAATTTTTCCATCCTCAAGAGTAAAATTTACATTTGTCATGTAAATATAGGTAGTACCTGTCATGTAAATAAAGGTAATATGGTGTGGCAGGTTTTCAAACTCTGCTTGAATCAGGATAGCATAACTGTTATAGCATAAGCTCTGGAGCCTGAGCCTGACAGATCAGAGATCAAGACCCTGCTCTGCCCACTAGCTGGGTGACATTAGGCATCCATGTAGCCTTGGGAGAGTCAGAGCAGAGAGCTGAAACCCAAAGGCTTCTAGTTACCACCTCACCCATTGAGTCAGGGATACTTACTATAAGAACTTTGTGTGTTACTTTAAAATTTATAATGTACCCATTTGTTATATTGATTTCTTAATGTTAAGTAGTCTCACACTTAAATGTCAGAATACAGGGGTTTTGTCTATAATGGGAAAAAAGAAAGGATGAGGAGGGTGGGTAGAAGGGATGTAAGTGGTTTGACCAGTTCTATATCCAGCTGTGTGAGAGGGCCCAGATACCCAAGGAGTAGAGTGGCTGCTAACCTCAGCTGAAGGAGAGAAAAGCAGGCTGAGTTTCTAGGCCTTGGCAGTGAACCAAAGCCTGGATGCACCTGAGAGGGAGCTTTGGACCTTTTGGATATCTGAATGGAAAAGTTACTTCTTGCAGGCCATATTCTCCTTATGGGCCTATCTTATTTCATCTATTCTTAACAATTTCCTGAACAACTGATCAGTTGGGTATCATTGATATTGGGAACCTGCAAAAACAAGTGAAAAAATAAAAAGACTAGACTAAAGCCTCTTCCGTAAGGGTTCCCTGACTGAAGCTGATTGGGAAGGATAGGTAGTGGGACCATAAGGAAGTTATTATAGAAAGGGAACAGAAGAGCTGAGGACCCTTGACTCCTGTGGCAGAGATTTTGCTGAAAACTGAAATGAATTGGAGACAACAAAGCACATGAAAATAACTTTCCTGTAATTAAAATTAGGATTTTGTGAAGCCTTGAGTCAGATTCCTTGCATCATTTTTGGGAGGCTAGGAGCTTCATATTCAAAACACTAGGGTCAATTTATACTATTTTACTGAAAAGTGTTTTTAAAAAATTATTCCATGCTTTGAATCCTAGCCTTAGTTTGGCTTGACTGCTTGGAAATTCTCCTGCTTGTTTCAGTCCTGTGGGCAGTATGGATCAGTTCTCAGTGCCCAGGGCCCTGACCCATTGTGATTTTGGTCCTAAAGGGCAAGATCCTGGTCAATGAGAGATCATCTCTGGACCATCCCCCTTCCTCAGCAGGATAAAGGGATTCTCAATGATGAGGGGCTAACCCTGTGGGTGGCAGGCAATACTTATGGTTAGAAGGGCAAGACAAGAGCAGCAGATAGGAACTGACAGACATTAATGCAGTTTAATAATTTTTTTTTTACTTACTCTTCAGTGGTTTCCTTTCCCATTCTCATGATGACCACTTCACCGATTTATGACTGCTCTTACACCCCCAAACCACACTCACCGTTATCAGGAAACCTAATCTCCCAACCCATGGGAAAGAGAGAACTCTTGATACTTCCCTTAATTTTCCATTTAAATGTACACCAATCTCCAACCCTCTTTTCTGTCCTCCTTTGGGCTAATATTTCTTCCTCTCTATTGACTCCTCCTCCTCTGCTACGTATGTGCTCAAAATTCTCAAGCCCTACAACCAAACATTCTTTACACAAGTCTGTCTTCTCCTGAGGCCACCAAGCTCACTCTCCTCTCTCCTTCATCAATACAGTTCCTAAAAGGAAAGTATCTTTTTGTTTTCTATTTTCTCACCCCATTTTCATTGCTTACCTCACAGAAATTCAGCCTCTGTCCCTTCCTTTCTAGTGATGCTCTTCCCACAATGGTCACTTCCATCTACCTCCCAATTGTCAGACTGTTTTGCTCATCTCAATTTTCACTGTATTTGATTTTGAAATAATTATTGCCACCATTTTGTCCCTGGCACTATTTTAAGCATTGTCACATATTCCATTCAGTCCTCAACATAACTCTGTGCATTAGGTGTTATATTCCACATTTTATACAGAAGGAAGCAGCTTTGCTTGACACCTTTAACAACTTCCTCTATCTGGACTATCTTCCTCTCTTAGGGAAAGGAATGGACAAAGGTAAAGGAGTGAGGGAATGAGAGCAAAAGCAGTCCCCAAACCAGGTGGGGAATCAGGAAAGAGTAATTTTATGGAAACTAAAAGAGGAAACACCTTCCTCCATCTGGACTGTCTTCTTCTCTATAAACGTTTTCTATAAAACGACTATTTCCTGATTCTCCCCCTGGTTTGGGGACTGCTTTTGCTCTTATTCCCTCACTCCTTTACTTTGGTCCACTCCTCTGCTTCTCCCACTCGGGTACACATTTTTTCTCAGTGATCTAAGTCAATCCTGCGTCCATATCTTTGTGCCATCTCTGTGTTCCTGATCCGTATTTTCAACTGCATAATTAGCATCTCCACATTCATAGTCAAGACACCAAACCTAACTTATCTTCCCAGTCACATTTACAGTAAACATTTGTAGAATCTCTATCACATTTCAGGTATGGTTTGCTGCCCTGGGGACATTCAGATGAATAAAACACAGTCCTGTCCTTGAGGACCAGGAGATGGACTTGTAAATAATTATAGTATAAAATGTAGGTATTATAATAGAAGTATCAGTAGTAGATCAAGAAGCAAGAGAAGGGAGCCTGTAGCTGCCTGAATGGCTCATAGAAAGTTTCCCAGAAGAGATGAAAACTTTTCATATGACTTTGAAGGAGATTTCTAGGCAGACAAGGGAAGAAAAAGATATTCAGTGCAAAGGGCCCAGTTTATGCAAATGCACAGAGGTTCCAGAAAGATTGGCATACCTAAGAAAACTTATGGTTTGCAAGTTTGGATGCTTAGGGATGAGTATTCTATACTGGGGTTGACAGTACTACCATTTATTAAATTATTTACCTGGCCTTTTCCTCCCCCAATAAATACTATTACAATCAGTATTATTGATTCCATTTTCCATAGGACTTCTGATCCTATCATAATCTCCCTTTCTTCCCATGGTTACTGCCCTAGTTAAGGCTCTTAATCCAAATCATTGTGGATGATTTACTGCTTGAGATTTAAGAAAGAACTCTGCCTGCACTGTTACCAAGCCCTTTACCCTGTTCAAAAATAAATATGTTTACAAATCTAGATACCCTATTATACTTATGTAAAATTGTACTGGTTTAAAAACATCACAATAACTTTCCTCAATAAGAAAGCAGTTGAAAGAAAGCCCTACCATATACTTTTTTTTAATTCATGGAAGCTGTTCTTGTCTTCATACTTATCAATATGGAGTGATCGGTGTCAGAGACCAGGTGGGAAAGAGTCTATCAAGCGGAAGAAGACTTAAAGGATCAATGAAGATGTCTCTGAGAAGCATTTTAGGAGAAGGATATGTCAATGTGTCAGTAAAAAGATTTGAAATATGGTGATTACCAAAGAAGCTTTGGAAGAAGCCAGAAAAGTGAGATCTGCTTTATTAGAGATGGGGAGAAAAGGAAATAATGACAAAGTGATATATTTATGTATGTAGGATACTGGCTGTGCCACATCCTGAGTTGAGATGCCTTTAACTTTTAATCCTCACCTTAACAAATGGCTTCTGTATTTTATATCTCTGTACCTATAATTCATTTTCAAACAGATCTGTAGATTTTGTTTGATTCTCATTCTAACTTTATAGATAGGAATTATTATTTAGTTCACAAATGGAAGGAACTATGGCAGTGTTTAAGAGGCTTGAGATGAGAGCTGGTTAATAACCAACAGATCTGGAATTAGGTCTGTCATTCTAGAACTCTTACTATTACATGTGCCTGACTCCTAGCATTACAGAGAGAACTGAAATTATGTACCAAATATAGGTTTATTAAAGTCTGATTCTGAAAAATTTTGGAAATCAATGTGAAATTTGCAAACATAAGATACATTTTCAAGAAGATGTCTGAAAATTGTTAGTCCCAATTTTTTTTTAAGATTTATTTATTTATTTTAGAGGGGATGGGTAGAGAAACTCTAAGCAGACTCCACGCTGAGTGTGGAGCCTGACAGGGGCCTCAATCTCATGACTTGGAGACCACTACCTGAGCCGAAACCAACAGTTGGACGCTTAATCAACTGGGTCACCCAGGGCTCCAGTCCCAATTTTTGATTATACAGTTTTGTCTTCTGTGAATCTGTTTGTTTAGGCACACTCTCAATTTCATATAGCCAGCTTATTATCTTCATCTTGGCATAAATATATTACTATCACAATGCATCTCCTGATTTGGGATTTGGTGTATTTGGTTATCATATAAATACTACAAGTCTTTAAAAAAGACTTTTGTATTGCTTACTTCCTGCCAATAGATCTCTTTTCCTCTTCTAAGCATTTAAAAAATTTAATACTTTTTCTTTTTAAGAATCAGTTTGAGCGAGTATTAAAAGGAGGAAATGTGTGTTTCTCACAATGCTGGGTCCGTTTTCATGGGCTGGAGTAACAGAGCCCTGGCTAGGGGCTCATATGCCCTGCTAGAATTTTTAGACAACTTCAAAATATCCAACATACATTAAAGGAACAAGAAAAAGTTAATATCAATGATTCTTTAAACATATCTTGTATAATTTACCAGGACTTGTGAGATTTCATAAATGTAATCAGTGCAGTCTCCTGTGGGTACTTTTTCAAGACTAGAACCATTGTGGTAGAACCCAAGTCATGGGACAGTCTCATTAACCTCTCTTTCACCTGTGGCAGAGGTAGATGAGTGCCCCCTCACTGTGAGAGCAGTCTTCCAAATGCTAAGTCATTCTTTAGTCTTTAGGGGAAGAAGTGCTATCCAAGGTCAAAGAGGGATCTTCTGAGCCTTCCCTTTGAGCTCACTAAAATACTCTCTGTTGCAGTGGGAGGTTAAACCACCAAGGTAGCCAACAGACACAGAAGAATTCTGTTGACAGAGCTTCTGAACTTTCACAGGCTTAGTTATCTCTTCCAGCAATGCATAATTTCAGACAATACATGCATATTATCTAGAATTTTTTTTACAGTTGCACTGTGGGGAGGGGTGTTATTTTTACTGTGGCTTGTCAGTTTGACCTATTTGAGAGTGACTGCTACTCATCTTTCTCTTCTTGGGATTCTTAGAAAGCTCTGCCCTAACTTTATCCATATTTGGGGGCAACTTGGAAACTGAGGAAAGGGGGATGTGCTAATCATTGAGGTGGTGCTTACCTCTCTCTACCTTTCCTTTCTCCTACTGTATAGCTCTACTTTCAGAAAAAAATTAATATTTATACCTCAAAAATTTACTTAAAATATTTCATTTTTAATTCCAAGTCAAAGGATTTGATTAGTATTTATCTTGCCCAAGCTGTCATCCATTCTGACTTTTTGAGAAAAAAATTGGTTCTTTTCCTAAAATTATGGTACTTGACCATGGTTTGCAAAATTATATTTAGTGATAAAATAATCCTAAATTGACTACAATTAGTTTGTGAGTTCATCCCTAATCCTGAGAAGAATGTCAAAACTGAATCTGCTACCAGGAAACACTAACATTTCTTAAAAGGATTCAGAGATTTTTTTAAAAATGTATTATGATGATTATTATGATTGAAATATCTCCTGAATTTCCACTAATCTCTCTCTCTCTCTCTGTCTCTGTCTCTCTCTCTCTCTCTCTCTCTCACACACACACACACACACACACTCTTTGGCTAATTCTCTAAGTATTCATTCTATGAAAATACACAATCTGGTGATGACCACATAGAACAAAATTCTTCCACAATATTTTAGATACAATAGGTATTACTGACAAGTATGGTAGGGATGGGGCACTGGATGAAAATTATGAAAGTTAAGTAACATTTTAGAAAAGTAAATTAATTAATTTTCAGAGAACACAGATACCCTGAGAATAATTGAGTTAACCCTTCAGGTTTGGAAATGTAGAAGTTCTTTTAACCAACTTTGAATTAACCAGTTTGCCGACTTAACTACCACTCTCCATTCCTTTTGTAAATCATACCAATTGATGTCCACAGCATATGACATGCTCATGGACTACTAGGCTGCCACTCTCTGGCCCGCCCACATATTTGTGCTACTTCAAAGTGAGCTGTATACTTACTAAGAGTAAGTTGTGATTGTTAGTGCCAAACCTGTTAGTGCCAAATGTGTGTGACATTGAAATTATGACAATCAGTATAAACAAACCAATAAAATACAAGTTTGAAGAGTTCTGGTTTCTGTGGAATCTAAGTTGCATACTTTAGAAATACTCAATTAAAGTGAATTGCTTATATAGCTCTTGCCATATTAGGTGTGGATAAGAACACTGAAACATGGGGTGTGATTAGGGAAAGTTTTCTCTTTAAGTTGCTTCACAAGTGTCTTAAAGAGTTTTGCTCCACATTAAAGAAAATGAAACTAAAACTTGAGGATGATACATGACTGGTTTGGGAAAGAAAATGCTGTGGAACTCTGATCATCTGATCCATGCTTAATAAAAAGACCTTAACTCCACTGAAAAGATTGGCAAATGAACATATATTTGTATTTTTAAAGTTAAAATGTTTAAAATGTATGTATTACTTGTATGCCTACTCATTTCAAACTGGGTTTTGATTAACTTAACAACTACTAGTTCCAATCATGTTAGATAAGTAAGCACCTACCTTACCTAGGTTCAAATCAATATTCCATAAATAAGCAACTTTCTCATTTATAAAACTTCTTCCTGGGATTTATAAGGTCAACTAAGGTGGTTGGGGAAAAAAGATTAGGTATCTTAAGGGACAGAAAGCTAATAAAATTGCTGCCACCACAACACAAAGAAAATAATTAATTTTGGAATTTACTAAACAGGGGCATAAAGATTACTTCAATCAAAATGCAGTCAATGCTGAGCCTCCCTTCAAAAACTGGAAAAGAAGAAACATAACGAAAAATAAATCTCTGCAACACAAGATATATGCTTCAGAAAAAAGAGAGAAAGGATCAGAAAAACAGAAACAGAACATGAGGGAGGAAGGTAATGGAGTAAGGGAGGGAGAGAAAGAGGAAGGGAAAGAGAGGAAGAGGGAGGGAGGAGAGGAAGAGAGAGAGCATGAGAACAAGAAAATATCAGAAAAAGAAAGAGAGAAAGAGATAGGGCAGTAAAATGTGTATTCAGATATTCTTAAAGATCCTACCTGGTCCTCAATTTTTCTGTTTTTGTTTGTTCTGCTAGAAACTCATTTATTTATTCAAGACTGGGTACAGGAGTTATTGACCTTTTCAGTAAAATCACTGTTAACATTTTTAATGGAGCTCTGAGCACCCAAATTATAAATCATCTAACATTATAAGGAAATTTACAGTTTTGTGAGCCATTCCTTATTGTCTCATCAATCTAAAAAAGCAAAAGGGTCTATCTTTGTCATAGGTTAGGTTCTCTGGGAAATAGTCCCTGAGGTGGAGATTAGCATGCTGACAATTTATTAGAGAATGTTGTCAGGGTCAGCCATTATGGAAGGGAAGAGGAGGAAGCAGGACTAGATAGAGGGAGTAGTTGGACTGTGGTCCAATTACAGAAAGGTCTACCAAGGGATATAAGACTTTATACTACCTCAATATCCCCCTCAATGATTAGATATAGGCTACCAAAGGAAGGAGTATGATGGTAGGAAATTGAGGGCAATTCCCAGAGATAACTGAGAGCTGAGAGCTGTCAACTGGCAATATTCTGAGGGCAAAGTCCTTCAGTCCTGAAGGCCACCTAGCATCCATGACAGTCTTTATGTTCTACTTTGGGGTCAGTGTGGCTTAGTGGGGAAATCATAGTCACTGGAGATAGACCCAGTTTCCAGTAACTTTATCATGAGCCATGTGGTTTTAGACATGCTATTTCACTTCTCATCGTCTGCTTCCTCATTTTAAAATGCAGGGGATAATATCTACAACATGGATTTGGTGTGGGTGGGGTAGGATAAAAGGAGTTAATGTTTATAAAAGACTGGCAAGTAGTAGATGCTCAATAAATATTGGCTTCGTCCTACCATTTTCCAATGGGCCAAAGTGCTTTAAATAGACAGTACATTTTTCACCTGGGTAATTTTCTCTTTACACGCTCCCTATTCCATTTGCCATTTGGAGAAGAGAAACTAACAATATTTTCCAAGCTATGTAATTTAACATGCTACTTTTTATGCTCCTAAAGAAGCAATTTTTTTTTAAGATTTATTTATTTCACAGAGAGAGAGAGAGACAGCGAGAGAGGGAACACAAGCAGGCGAAGTGGGAGAGGGAGAAAAGCAGACTTCCCGCCGAGCAGGGAACCCAAGGCGGGGCTCGATCCCAGGACCCTGAGCTGAAGGCAGATGCTTAATGACTGAGCCACCCAGGCACCCCAAGAAGCATTTTTTCTATGAAGTTTTTCTAACTAAAATAGATTTCATTTATTTCAGGGAAAAAAAGAGCAAAATAAAAGAAATAGCCTTTTTTTTTTTTTTTTTAGTTCACTGAATCAGAGAGAGATTGAAAGAGAGATAGAAAAAGAGTATTTCTGTTACCACCTAAGATGTTTTATAACCTCCTTCCCTGCTCTTAAATATCTAGGGCTTCTGGCATATTACCCCACTCAAGCAACATTCCTTCCTCAAAGGAGTTTTTGTCTTTTAGACCAATGGTGGCTAAGCCCTGCTGAACTTGAAACAGATATTACAATAGTTCTCAAAGTTTGGCCCCTCAGTATCAAACTGTAATGGGAGACTGTGAGAGATGTAAATTCACAGGTTGCAGCCAAGATCTATTGAATCAGAACCTCCAGAGGTGGTACCTAACAATCTGTAGTTTAACAAGTCTGCCAGCTGACTTTAATACACACTAAGGTCTTAGAACTACTGGAATAGTGTATCAATCAGTGTTCCAGCAGGAAATAGATACTATATTCAAGTTAGGATAACTCAAAAAAGGTTTATTAACAAAAGTACTTATAAAGGTTGGCCAGGGAAGCACAGTAGAGGGTGGGATACCTTGGAGACTGTAACAGCAAAGCTGTTACCATACCTAGGCCTGAAGGGATAACGGGGGTAAGAGGTTACTGGAACCCAAAATGAGAGGATCTGGTGGAGATGATCCATTGAGAGGAGCTGAAACCTCTGGCACATAGACCAGGTCCCACAACAGGGAGCTTTTTCCTTCCTGTTTTCTGTTGGAGTTCTCGATTGGCTGAATCCAACCAGAAGCCAGATGGCAATGGGTCCCAAAAAGGTCAGCCTCCCAGAATGGAGAGCAGGATGGGGAAGGGTGGAAGTTAATCTAAAATGGACAAATGAAGAGATCTAATACAAGTAATATATCCTAAATGTCAATATTAATTTTTATTCATTTAAAAGTTCTGCTCCCTTAATTGTAGCTTTTCCAAACAGTTATTTCTAACTTACTTTAGAAGTACTTGTCTTGTGACTCCCAGCAGGTATGCCTTACTTTTATTTTTTAAAATTATTATTGGCAAGACTCTGAAAAATATGTGAAACTCTTGAGGCTAGTAATAAACTTGGGTTCAGATTGCATCATTTTTCTCTTTTCCTGGTGCTTATTTATCATTATAGGTATTGCTTCATTTAAAAGAGAAAATATGCCTGTGGCAAAAAATGAAAGTATTAGTAAGTCTATAAAGCCATGGGACTTTCTACATGCTGATGGGTATTGGCACAAAAATTTTGGAAACCAGTTTGACACTACCTAAAACACTTGAACCTATACTCACTGCCCTAGCATTTCCACTTATATTTATCCTAGATTGGTTCATATCTGTACAAATAACAAGGTGGCATTGTTTGTAATAACTAGAAAATTAACACATCCTCAAAGTTCATCAAAAGTAGACTGTTAATGAAAAAGCAGCAAAAATAAATTGGCAATATATTCATACCAAAGAATTGCAATAAAAATAAATGAACTGCAGGTGAGCACATCAACATTGGATGAACCTCTCAAATGTCTTTTTACGTGAAAGAAACAAGTCAATAAAGTATACATATAATATTACTCCATTTACATAAAGTTCAGAAGTAGATAAAACCAAGCCAATGTCATTTAGGGATGCATCTATATATGGTAAAATTAACAAGAAACAACATAGTGGTTAATATAAAAGTCAGGATTCTAGTTATACATGGTTATATAGGTGGTTATACATTGCAAAGCTGTTGAAACACAAATAGCCATTTAAATTTAGATTGGCACAAGGGATCAACTGGCACCTTTGGGGTATTTCACCTTGATGAAGGTACACATTTAATGTGTTAACTTTAGATTTTTCTGGTTCTTGGGGTGTTGGGGTGATACCAAATCTTCTATACTTTCTAGAAATGATCTTCCCCTTTGATTGGCAACTATTTCCAATGAATATACTTTACCCTCTTCACTTACCTTATTTTCCTTTTGAAAGCTGACTTTCAGAGAAAGAGCCACACTGATTTCCTACCAGTAGTTAAATAAATCGGCTCAAGTGTAAATATCTTTTTGTTCATGTAGAGTTCTCACAATTATCATAACACAAATTTTTATTATGTAAATTTTCAAACACACACAAAAAAGTTAGAGAACATAAAATGAATCTCCATGCACTCCTCATTCAGCTTCAACAATTACCAACGTTTTTCAAAATGTTTTCTTCTTATAATGAAATTTAGATTTTAATAAACAACACTGACCTTCTCGAGTGCTGGTTTATGTGTAGAAGTAGAATGAACATACTTTGAAATTTAATGGATTTGAAATATGTTTCAGTTCATTGCTTACATCACTTCTGCGATTTGGAGCATTTTTAGTTATTTTTATGTAGTAGAATAAATTGCATTTTTAATAGTATCTCATATGGTTGCCTGAGGTAACACATTCTCGCACTGAATTATAATTCAGTAAGAAAATATATTATTTTTTCCTAAAATCAAACACCAGCATTCTGGATGCAATTAAGATTTAAGGCCTGAAATTTAAAATTATTATTTGGCTGATATTCAACAGTTTCTACTGGGTGGTAGTTAAGATATGATTATCAGAAAAAATTAATTTTCCTCTATTTGTAGACATTCTCACTTTTGTTATATTAACTTTATACCTTTGGGTTATTAGATATCAGATATTGTATTTCCACATAATAATATCAACAGATCTTTTATTCCTCTAAGTCTAAATACTTCTAACTAGTTTCAAGTACAAGGAAGGGAAAGAAATGCTCTACTCTCCCACTGCAGATAGTTATCTTGCAGAAGAATGAAGCAGACCAAATGTGAATCTTAAAAGGAATTTAAAAATTTTAATCACAACAGTGGATTAGGCATAGTAATTACTGAATTGAGCCTATGTATTATATGATAATACTCAGACATTCCCTAAATTTAATTCAGGGGCAGAAGACAAAGGAGCTCTCACAGTGTACTTTTAAAAGTGCAATGAGAATAAAAATAAAGTTGCTTTTTGATTATCATATAATAAATTCTGCTTCATATACACAGTGGTTGCTCATATAAATGATCAAAGAAGGCTGGGGCTCAGTTTTTGGGTAACAGAAATCACCAACACCAAGTAGTCCTACTCACAAGCTTTATCAAGTACCAAACGGATATGAGAAGAGCATCAACAAGGATACCTCTGAGTAATCATGTCCTCCCCATCCTCCCTTCATTCCTCATGAGGATGTATCCAGGTTGGTGGTGATTCAGGTCAATGCCCTGCTCAAGGAGAGGAATATTCTACTCTAAGGGAACCAAAACAGAGGGCTACACTAGACTTTAAGCTTCATTCCTGAAAGGGCCACACTAATACCCATGTGATTATGATTCCATGTAAGACGATAATTCTATTATTCATCAAAATCATGGTGCTCAAGCTGTCCACATTGCAAGGCCTGAAATCTTGCTGAACATTCTAAATGCAAAAATGTCTTTTCTGTGCATATGCTGGGAGTTAGACACATTAGACAAAGAAATGCTACCTGCTGTCACAAATGAACTCCGAACTGTGAAATAGC